TAGTATATTTCCATACATTGCTTGGTGCCCAAGATTTGAGTGTCAGAATGGAGGGTGAGCCGTGTAGTTAGATATGGGAAAATGTTGCAGACAGGACCCTCTACTTCTTCTGCCTTATAAGCTTGCACAGTTTTTCTGAATACTTTTGCTTGTGGGTCTTCAGATAGGAAAGTAGCTAAAGCAGTGGCTACGTTAGACCCCTTATTCTAAGGAGAAATTTCACTATTCTGTATGTTTACCGTGTGCCGTGCTCTGTGTTAAGTCACGAGGAGTTATATACGGATGACAATAATCTCTAACCCCAAGCAGCTCGCATAGTATCTGCACTGTAGAGAGGTTAGTGCTATACAGAAAGCAAGGTGCGGGGAGTGGTTTGTTCTGCCTGGGCACGTTAGGGCAGGATACACAAGGGGTGACGATGGAACTGGTCTATGAAATAAGAGTCTGTTAGGAGGAGGAGATGGATGATGGTATGCCAGGGTGAGGAAGCTGCCTGAGCATCTACAGATTAGCAGATAGCAGAGCAGACAGAGATGCTGCATGGGAAACACTTAGCTCCTCCTAGAGGGTCCCTCTCCCTGCTGCCCTTCCAAGCCCAGCTTGTCAGTCAGTTCTCAGCCAGCAGCGCCCGGTGAGCTGCTGTAGCAGCAAGCTTCTCAGGCAAGGCTGACCTTGGATTCTGGCTCCTAACGTGAAAGGATCTTAACAGGTACTGTTTTGGTCCCCATTCACTGGGGCTCCTTTGTCCTGTCCCACTGGAGACATCTCAAGAAAATTAGAAGAGAGTGTTTTTCATAATGAATTTCCAGCCAAATATACAAAAGAATCTAACTTGGGTCTCACTTGAATACGTATTTTTTTTTAAGCTTCTAAGAGAGATGGGAATGGAGAAACAGAACAAGATTTACTTTTTATTCCAGAGACACAGAATGACAAAATCTTCTTAACAAAAAACTTCAGTGAACTTCTTTTTTATTAAAAAAGAAAAATAAAGACAAATCGTAACTTACATTCCTGGCAAGTATTTTTTGAATCTGCACAGCTACACCTGACACCCTTTGTTTGGACTTCCCTTCCCAATAATGTTCCTGGCGGAATCACGTAGGGGAGTCAGTATGTTTTCCAGGTAGTTCCAGACAGGGCCTTTGCAGTGACCAGGAGATTCTAGCCCTTTGAAAGTCATGGTCTCAGGCCCTCATTCTTGGACTGACATGACTGCCCGACCTTGAGGAGGCCATGCCAAGCCTTACGTGCCCCCTCTTGTTGATATACCAGCCCCCCTCAGTTCCAACCCTGTACCCTGAACATCCACTGTCTTCCACAGCGTCTGTTTTGATAGTAAACAACCTCCACTTACATCCGTTGTCAGCTATCACGCATACACAGGCACATTCACGTCCTCTTGGGTTTTGTATACACCATCCCATAATATTCCTTGCAAGGAGATTACATGGAACAGTAAGAATTTGAGTGTGTGTGTTTTAGCCACCACCAAATAATTGGTTTTGTGGTTAATTTTTGGACAGTTTACTATCTGTATGTTCTCTTTTGACTTTTTATACTGGTACAGATGCCATTTGTGCTTTTTTAAATTTAATTTTTAAAATGTATTGACACATTATAATTGTACATATTTATGGAGTACAATGTGATGTTTCAATGCATGTAAACTTAGTGTAATGCTCAAATTGGGGTAATTCTCATATCCATCACTTTAAACACTTATCGTTTCCTTCTGTGTCCATTTGGGGGTCAAAAAATAAACATCATTTCTTTGTGGTGGCAACATTTAAAATCTTCTCTTCTGGCTATCTTAAAATATAAAATACATTGTTATTCGCTATCGTCATCCTACTGTAAAATAGAAACTTATTCTTCCAAAACTTATTCTTCCTGTCTAACTGTAACTTTGTAGCCATTGACACACCTTTCACAGTCCCTCTCTTCTCCTCCCCGATCCCCATCCTCTGGTAACCACTATTCTACTCTCTACTTCTATGAAATCACCTTTTTTAGATTCCACATACGAGTGTGGTATTTGTCTTTTTCTGCCTGGACTATTTCGCTTAACATAACGTCCTCCAGATTCATTCATGTTACTGCAAATGACAGGATTTCATTCTATTTTATGGCTGAATAATATTCCATTTCTCATTTCTCATATATATGTGTGTGGTGTGTGTGTGTCACATTTTCTCTATCCATTAATCATTACATGGGCATTTAGGCTGATTTCACATTGAGGCTATTGTGAATAGTGCTGTAATAAATATGGGAGTGCGGGTATCTCTTTGACATACTGATTTCATTTCCTTTAACTATATACCCGGTAATGGGATTGCCAGATCATATGGTACATATGGTAGTTCTATTTTTAATTTTTTGAGAAATCTCCATACTGTTTTCCATCATGTTATACTAATTTACATTCCTACCAACAGTGTATAAGAATTCCCTTTTCTCAGCGTCCTCACGAGCATTTATTTTTTGCCATTTTGTCATTTTAATAATAGCCATTCTCCTAACTGGGATGAGGTGAAAACTCACTGTGGTTTTGATTTGCATTTCCCCGATGATTAGTGATACTGAACATTTTTTCAAAAATCTGTTGGCAATTTGCATGTCTACTTTTGAGAAATGTCTAGGGATTTTAGCCATTTTTAAATTGGATTATATGGGGTTTTTTGCTACTGAGTTGAGTTCCTTATATATTCTGGATATTAACCCCTTGTTATACGCATAGTTTGCAAATATTTTCTCCCATTCTGTAGGTTGTCTCTTCACTTTACTGATTGTT